GCTTAAGTCAGTGGCTTCGTTTCTGAAATGTTTACATTTGGATGACTTTTTTCTCTGTGAGTTAATGGTTGATAATAAATGTGATAAAAAAGGTGTTTTTTTAAAAAACAAACAAACATTTTCACTTTCACTGTTCTTCTGTCAAATGATTTGGGCACTATTTAAACCGTACGGTTACAAATCTGGGTTTTGTCGGTAAAGAGCCAGTTTGGTCCAGTGGTGAAGCCCCCAGGCTAGAAAGCAGGAGACGGTGAGTTCTAGTCCTGCCTCAGGCATGAGAGCCGGCTGGGTGACTTTGGGCCAGTCCCTCACTCTCAACCCAACCCACCTCACAGGGTTGTTGGAGGGAAAATAGGAAGAGGAAGGAGGATTAGATCTGTTTGCCGCCTTGAGTTATTTATAAAAATAATAAAACCCTAACCCTCCTGCTGGAAGGTTTTGACAGGCCTTGGGGTGGGGGGGTAGCATCTGTATGCTGGATCTCGGCTGTCTGCAAGGCGCTGCTTCAGCACCTCCAAAGACCATTGCCAGCTTGGAAAACTGTGGGCCCCTTTCTCCAACCTTCCCTGCCACGGTGCAGTTTGAAAATATTATAATCCTGCTGGGTAAGAGATTGTGTATGAATCTCTGAAGCTGCCAAATTGAACTGGGTTCTGGGTGAGCGTGAAATATAGGATATGTCACACAGCCATCTTATCTGGAGACCTGAGATGGGATGTGGCTATACGTCTGACAATTGCCATCTTAACTTTAGTCCTGTCGAGGGCCCCTGAACGGCACAGCCTAAAACACCCAACAAGCACCCGGTTAGGAAAAATTGGCTTAGAAGCGAAGACTGTAGCTGAAAATATTTGAAAGCGGACTTTTCATTTGGGTGGGGGACATCTTGGAGGGATAAAAGGTAAAGAACCCCTCAGACTGTGTTTGGCTCCTGGTGGTCACGTGCATCCATGTCATTTTCTTTGCAAGAAAGTGAAAATGGCTTACCCTTGACTTCTGGAATCTTTTTAACTACCCAATCCCTTTCTTTGTGATCTCCCATCCCAGGCGCCCAGTCTTCTAATTTCCTTTCAGGTGTATAAATCACCATTTATCTGCTGCAGGTTGGAATCACAGTTCCTCCAATTTCAGAGGGCAGGGATGGGATGGGGGTTGAGGTAGTCGTGTGTGTACATGTGTGCAATTCTTGCACACTCCTGCACAGCCACTAGCTTCTCCTGTGTAACAACTGCTTCACCTTAAGGCATGAGTAGAGAAACCTGTACCCTCCAGGTATCGTTAGACTCTAGATCCCATCATCCTGGCCTCTTGAAAAGAGTGATTACAGTCTGTTCAACCACTTTTGGAGTAACATAGTCCTGCTCCCTTGTCACAGAATGTTGAAGCACTGGTTATTCAAAGCTGCCCTTTTTATGAACACAATAAATATTAAGCTGAGTATTTAGTTTATTCTAGGCCCAAATCTTAGATTGTTGGGTACAGCATTTTCTCTTCTCTCCTTTTTTCCAAAACATTTTTTAGATTTAACATTCTGTTTTTTCCAGAAACATAGAATGGGGTCTGGAAGCGATATAAGTGGTATAAATGTTCTTTTTCCACCTCTCTCAAGTGATCAATGAAGCATGGAGAATGGAAATTGGAATGGTGTTATTAGATGGGTTATTTGCTGGTGATATTATGGGCTCAGTCCAATTGTGACACTGTACACCATCCTCTGGAGGCAGCTGTTAGTATCGGAGACCCATTGCTCCAGCCATTTGGTTAGGAAAGGGGGTAGCATGTATGTACAATATAATGTACATACATTATATGTATGGGGACTATATGTGGGTTACAACTTGATTCACTTGGCTTAGATCAGTGTTTTTCAAAGTTGGCCACTTTAAGATGTGTTGGACTTCAACTCCCAGAATTCCCCACCCAGCATGCTGGCTGGGGAATTCTGGAACTTGAAGTCCATACATTGTAAAGTGGCCAACTTTGAAAAACACTGGCTTAGATTATATGCTCCACCAGAGAAAAACTAGGAACTGTTTTACAGTCCTGTTTTCCCCGTATACTATAATGTTAGGTATATTTACATCTGTCTTATTTTTCTTCTTGAGATTTTGCACAGATCTGTTTCATAAGCTTTTCAAAAGCAGTGAATTTTTTCCCTGTCCAGTAATTTCATTCATTTGATGTATTTATTAAACTGATATGGTTTAAAAAAAAATGAGAAAGTTGCATTTGGCAAATTTATCTTAGGAGGGAGGAAGAGAGAGAGATTGTGTATATGTGCACACACGGGTGTGCATTGTTCAGCTGTTAGATTATATTTCTAATCACCCCAACCACCGACTAGTTTGGCTAGGGCTCATGGGAACTGTAGTTCTACAACATCTGGAAGGCTGCTATAAGGAATTTACTAGCTGGTGTTTTCTTACATTCTCAAAGCAGCAGTACAAACCCGGATAGATACATCTTAAATCCTGGTTCAGTTTTCTCCTTTCCTTTCCCTTTCCCTTTCCCTTTCCCTTTTCCTTTTCTCCTCTCCTCTCCTCTTTTTTTGCATTTTGCATGGGCTTGTTCCCATGCGCTTGTTGGACCTTTTTATTTTGCTCACTTGGGCACAAAACTGGAGGCAACTTTTCCTGCCGCATGGTTGAGTCTAGAAATGTATCTTTGTTCAAAATGAAAGCTTTGATCAGAAAGCCAGCTTCACCTTACATGATTCAGAATCCCTGCAGCACATTACTCCTACCAGCTCCTCCTCTTCCTCCTCATAGCTCCTATTATCCTTGTTTTTTCGAAAGAGTCTTGCTGGATCAGACTAAGATTCACCGTGTCCAGCTTTCAGACCACGTGCTTCTCTTTGATTATGAGAGATGCAGGATGAGAGGCCTCCCTTGTTATTCTCAACATCTGCTTCCATGTGGGCTTGACACTCTCTTTATGTACCAGCTATGACGCTACTGTGGCTAATAGGCATTTGTAATTTAGACCTCCATGACTTTGGCCTGGTTTTTCTTTGCATTTACCCTTTAAAAACACTGAATTTGATCAATACAAAAGTGTAATTCTTTTGAGCAAGCGGAATAACCTAACGCCATCTCTGTCTTTGCCTGCCAGGACCTTAGAAAAGTTGCCCGCAACTCACAATTCTTTTTTAATGTGCCAGAAGGGAAAATTACAAAATGGAGAGGACTCATACCAGTTGTAATTGTTGTAATGTGAATCTAATTAAGTTAAGGTTATGTACTTGCTCCACTGAATTCCTTTGTCCTGGGTCACGTGGCACCCCAAACTAAGTGTGGTCCCCAGCCCTAAAACAACTGATCCCCTCTGCTTTCAAGGCAGAGGCGCAGGTTCTGCTCTCATGAACCACCTCTGTTTACATTGGTATAAATCCAGGGACTCCAGATCTGCCAGCAAGTGAGGAATGGGTCTTTAGCACTTTTCCCCCATCTAAGGGGGAAGGCGTATTGCATGGCCAAAAATAAATAAATAAATCTGTGCTAGCGTTTGTTAACTACTCTTTTCATGGTGATTGTAAGAACGTGAATTAGCACTGTGAGATTGTGTCTTTTTGATGTTTTTTTTTTTAAAGGGAAGCACATCTGTACATTAAGAGTCTCCCTAGTTACACCTTAAACCATGTACGTAAATTTTAAGTCTGTAATATTGGTGAAATTTTACTTTTTTTTCCTTTCTAAATGTAAACTTTGTACAGTAAATACACACACCTATATATAAATATATAAATATATAAATATTTTCTATCAACTAAGTTTGTCTTCCGAAATGGCTATTAATTTAATTTAAAAATGGTTAGTGTTAACGAGTTCTGTATTAGTTTATCCAACTGTTGAGAGGGGGGGAAAGTTTGAAAAAGAACATTCTATGCTAATGAAATTCTGAATATTTTAGAGTTTCTCTAAATGAATAAAATTTTGCTCTGGATGAAACAGCTGGTGTGATGACTT